TTTGGGACCTAGAATATGGTCTATCTTGGTAAATGTTCCATTTATACTTGAAAAGCATGTTTATTCTGCTGTTGTTAAAGTGTTCAACAAATGTCAATCGGATCAAGTTGGTTGATATTTCTTTTTAAAACTCGTTATCTGTGCTGATTTTCTGTCAACTAGTTCTATCAATTATTGAAATCTCTCACTGCAACTCATGTTCATTCAAATGGAAGGAAAAAGAAGGCAGGTTCAGGTCACTAACCCCCACTGGGGTGTGGGTGTGTGTGTGTGTGTGTGTGTGTATGTGTGTGTGTGAGTGAGGTGTTTTGTTACTCCCAGGAGTGACCTAGACTCCTTAAAATTTGGTAAGATCTTTTAAGCCACCTACATAAACATGCTGTCTAAATAAAAACAAAATATTTACTATGAAAACATAGCTTCAAGGCAAATCCTCTCTCCATTCCCCCTACTTCCTTTCAACCTTACTGCTTTCCTGTAATAGTCCTATACACAAATTCTGTAGTTATTCTGTACTGCTGTTGGGTTATAGTAAATTAGTGGTCGAACATGGTTCATATCCTTTGATGTTATACAAATATCAGATGATTCCTGAAAATTCTGAACAAGTTCATGGAAAGACATAGATTGTCAAGTTTCTGAAATCACAAACTGGAGAAATGGTCTAGAGATTACCTGCATCACAGCACACATCTGGGGTTCAAGAGGATGGTGAGTTCAGTACCAAAACTTTCTGCTAGAGACATGATCCGGTTCTCTATTTTGTCCTCCGCAGCCAGCAGATAACAGAGAACTGAGAGCGAAATCTTTTGTCTGTACATACTTTTGCACGTGTAACCACTTTACAATGACTTTTGGTATTTTGAATATCTATTTTTAAAACTTAGTTTGAAAAATAAAGTGTTACATTTTAAAACTTCAGAGAGATTTTATGGAGTTACTATTTATAGAATGTTAAAGACTCCTCTCAGAGCAATGTCAAGGCTGTTGTATGTGGACGTTGAATTATAGCACAGAACTTTAATACCTACCTCAGGAATGATAGGGATCTTAAATAGGCAGTCATATTTACTAAAGAAACCTAGAGTTTTCTTAGATTGCCAACCTTAGTAAGACAAGAAATGTCAGGGTGACAGAATTTAAGTGGCTCTTTTCAGGTGTGTTACACTGATTCTCTATATTTAAGATGCAAAACAGCCTCCCCAAAAGCTATTTAATTAAGTGAAAGTTGGTCTAGGCTCTTTGGAACAAAATGGCTCGGTGAGCAAATACACTATCAGCAAGTAAAGGAAGTGGGGGACGTTATTATGTGCTCCATAGACATGGCGACATAACCCTATATCAGGGATCCTAAACAGTGATTGGTGGAGAAAATGATCAAACTGAGTTTAAATTTCGGCAGGTACAAAATTATCATGCCAAAGTCCAGGACAGTGTGCCACTCAGTCTTCAAAGAAAAAGATCAGAAATCCTGGATTTTCAAAGTTCCTTTGAGAGCTTTCAAGGTAAGATGAAACATCCTCTTTACTCAGAACCAACAGCTACCTTTAGAAAGAAATTCGAATTTCAGAAAAGCCAACTGGATTTTAAGACGTGAATAACCCTGTATGATTAGATTCCCCCCCTCCCTTTTGACTTATCAGATCGAGATTTGTATTAAAAGATTATGAGAAATTATGTGGTAAGGAATACAAATTTCAGCTAGCAAAATATTGCATTACTGAAGAATAGGTTTTTTTTTTTTTTTTTTTCCACAGCCAGGGTGTTAAAATATCAGTTGCTAATAGAAAGAGTATATGTAAGATGAAGCAAATATTTTTGAATAGTAACAACAGAATGAGAAATTAGAATCTTTTATGTATAATTCACTAAGTTTCCATTATTGTTAATTTTATCCAGGAAAACCATTTTAAAGAATCTTGAGTCTAGTTAAAGCCATTTTTTTTTTTTAAAGTGTCACCACTGCAGTGTAACATGTAATGGGACTGAATTAAAAAGGGGAAAAAAAATCTCTTCCTCTTTTATTTATTATTATTATTTTTTAACCCTGACCCAAGGATATGTTTTTATTGATTTTCAGAGAGAGAGGAAGAGAGAGAGAGAGAGAGAGAGAGTTGGAAACATCGCTATGAGAAACATTTATCAGTTGTTTCCTGCATGCGTCCCTACCAGGGATCAAACCTGAAACCTAGGTATGCGCCCCGACTGGGAATCGAACCCACAACCTTTTGGTGTACAGGACAACGCTCCAACCACTTGAGCAAACCATCCAGGGCTCTTCCTCTTCTAAATAGTAACAATAGTAACATTTAAACACTGACTCTATAGAGAAATAAAGGTGAATTTGATTTAACACATTATAGTACATTTATTTCAGTCCGTCTGATCCACTTCGTGATAGGGCTCATGTCTGTTTTCTAGGTCTCAGTATCTGGCCCACATTAGGCCTTCAAATGTTTGTTGAATGAATGAATGAATCTCAGTTTACATATAACTTCTTGGTTCTTAAAAATAAAAATCAACACTTGACCTAAAACATTATTTTTTTTCCAATTGACATTAGGGTTTTAAAAGCTATATTTAAAATACTTCTTAGAATAGTTAGAGATTCTGACTTTTGTCACATGCCTTTTCCATTTTATAATATGATAGGTTTGAAAAAGAAAGACATGCTACTAAAAAAAAAAAAAAATGGTAAACTGAGGTGGAAATTTGATACTTATCTGGTTGCTTTGGTTAGTTTCGATTAGAAATTAGATAACTGAGATTTTAAAAATCCAGCTTGGGCTTTCAAACAGGGCTTTAATTAAGCTTTTCTTTTAGCTTTTTAAAAAATTTGTCCAAATTAACTAGGTAATTGCTAAATCTTGTGACAAATTTTACTTGTGGCAATACCCGCAATAATCTGAAGGGGGTCCACACAGTTCTTAAGCCTCTGCTTTCAGGCTGATGAAACAGGCCATTTCTATAGCAGTCTTTCGAGCCATTCACCTACCCGTGGAGACGGTGACAGCATCACCGTGCATCGTGCAATTGTCCGGAGTAGATCTGAAGGGAGCTAATGTGGTCAGATTTCTGGACTGCAGCTTAGAAATGGGCTGCACATAGCTCTGACCTTCACTGCAGGTACCTTTCAGGACACCATGGCTCCTCCAAATCACAGTAATCTGGCCTTCTGCAGAGTCTCTGTAATAATTAGGTTTGGGACTGCAAGGCACGGTATAACCCCTGCTTACTAAACAGACGCCTTTCAACATCTATGCCCAGAGCTCTGCATTATATTTGTCCCCAGGTCACCTCAGACTCGTTTTTAAACTATAGTATTTTAGAAGGAGGTTTTGGCTTTCTGCTGAGCAGCTACGAGAGTGAGCACCTTCTATTTTTTCTCTCAGTAGCTCTGGAACTGTGTCCTCTCGCCTGTGAAGAAATGCCAATAACTCTATGGAAGTTGATGCTCACTGAGATTTTATTACGTTTCCATTATCAACATTAAACTAAATAAAGCCTCTTCTATAACATGCAGCATTATAATTTATAAATCCAGTGGGAGAGTCATGAAATAGGAGTAAAACTCTCCCTTCCATTCTATAGCAATGGCATCATTACATCAAGCAATCCAATTTGTAGCAAATGGAAATTAAAATTTTTTATTTACATGGGCTGTAAATACCTATTCCTCTCTATCTCTCTTTCTCTCTCTCTCTCTCTCTCTATCTACACACACACACACACACACACACACACACACACTAGAACATTTCTGAATGTGAATTCTAATAGGAATAAAGGATTATATGTTTAGAAGTTCCTCATAATAATTGCTATCATTTATTAAGAGATTGCTAAATACCCAGGACAGTGCCAAGTATTGCTTATATTAGTAATTATTTATTCATCAACAATATTCATAAAAGGTCTTTTCCTATGCTATGTATACAGTGATTACCAAGACATTCTCCTGGGTCTCAGGAGCTCTCAGTAGGACAAGGGAACATGTAAGTAACCAGGCCATTTTAACACAGTGCAATATGCTGCCAATTAGGTGTGCAGAAGCTGCTGTGTGTGAAAAAGAGAGACACCAAATGCCCTCAGAAATGTAGTCAGAGAAGGTTCCTGAGAGATTTTTCTGTTAAGATAGTTGGCATAATCCTGAAGTGTAGATACTATTATTATCACAGATGGAGGAAACAAGGCTTAATAAAATGTTTAAATTGCCCTGGCCAGTTTGGCTCAGCGGTGAGAGTGTCGGCCCATGGACCGAAGAGTCCTGGGTTCGGTTCCGGCTGAGGGCACGTACCTCGGTTGCAGTTTGTCCCCAACCCTGGTTGGGGTCATGCGGGTGGCATCCAGTTCATGTGTCTCTCTTACATCGATGTTTCTCTCTCTCTTTCTACCTCTCTCCCTCCTGCTCTATCTGAAGATAAAAGCTTAAATTTCTCAAATGCACACAGCAAGTAGCAAAGGTAGAATTCAAACCCAGGTCTCTACATCCAAGCGCCATGTTCCTTCTATTAGCCCAGCCTTCCTCACCTCTGTCCCTTATACTCTAGAAGAGCCCAGCTGTATAAACTTGGAGAAGGGATGAAAAGTGCTTCATCTTTTAAGCGCAATCTTAGCACAAGTAGTCAATACCTGGTTAAAACTATTCAGAAGAGAAAGATATGATTACCATCAAGACCAGCAGAAGGACACAGTTATGGTTATGACTTTGTGGCTACATGGCTGTTTCCCTTCACTGACAGAGGCAGAAAGTCTAGGTGGCCCCATTGGAGCTGACCCTGATGATGCCCCCTACGTCTCTATGACACTCCAGGTGTGCTCTGGAAGTGAGTGTGGCCAGCCACCTTCTTATGTTTGATAAATACTCCTTGCCCAGGAAAAAGGCAAATGCTTACAAAGCAAATAATACATCACTGTGGTCATTATCTTTTGCTCTGTAAGTAATGTTGTGCTATTCTTTTGTTTTTTTAAACAGTCATTAACTAATATTTCTAAAGAAAATGAAGATAGTCATATATTTTTGCTTTTGGGCAGCAGCATGGGCTATTCCGGTAAGTATGCCTTCCTCAGAAAACCTCCTTCCTTTTGCTCCTTAAGACTTTACAGATAAGCTGAGCCTAAACATTTAGATTTGCATGAAAGAATTGACAAGATATCTCTGGCATCTTAACAAAAGTAAACATGACTCCAAATTCATGTTCCCATTCCTCCAAATGAAACTCATGATGCTCAGAAGGATTCTCATTTAAAAATTCAGATCAATTTACATTAAATGCCCCCAAATCATGAAGACTTTGTTCATCTTTGCTCACATGCTCAGAACTTCATTCTAATATCAATGAAGACTGTATTGTTTAGGAAGTTTTCAAGAAATAAAAATAGAATTTTTAAACATAGGCAAAAAACTAATGTTTTACTCAGAGAGTTATTTTTTAAATGCGCACTGTAAAAAATTTGGAATATATAGATAAACACAAACAAAGAAAAATTAAGAGACTTCAACCATTTGTAATTTCATTAGCCAGCTGTTAGGTTTAACATTTTGATATGTTTTCATGACACCAAACACTTTGGTGTTTATGTAGTTGAGAAAATCCTCAACTATTTCAAATGTGCTCTCGAAGAGCACAGAAGTGGCCTATTACTTGATTTTTCTTCTGGTCAAACCAACTGTTCTCTTAGGTGTTTTGCCAGAATTATACTTAGGGTAGTTCTTGTGCTTTGCAAGAGGCTTCTTGCACAGAAACACCAAATGTCTATCTTTTCATCTTTAGAAAAGAATGTCCCTCTTCTATAGGTGAAATTAATTCCTCGATAAAATCGGTAACACTGTTACGAAAACTATCTGTATGCCAGTTCAAATTCCACATAAGCCCCGTAAAAAGTGGCTTCTCTTTTCTACCTAATTAGAGCATACGTTAGCCTTTGTGTTATATCTTTATTTTCTTCATTTAGGGAAAAATGTGTGTGTGTGTGTGTCCGTGTATGTGCATGCATACAAAATAAGAATATTTTCAATTTTGGTAGGTTCCTCAAGTCAAGCCATTGGAGAGATGTGCTGTTGGCAAACCTGTGAATTTAAATCTTCCAGCAAAATCAAAAGTGTCAATACAGGTATAGGATATAAAATGTGCTTCTAAGGTGTTTTTGAAGTCCATTACTCCCCCCCGCCCTCAAATTGATGCTCAGCCTTTCAGTTTGTATCACTTCAAGATGATATTCCAATTATTTTGCATTGTTTCTTTCTCAGGATGAGTTAAATGTTAATGACACCGCCAAAGAAAATGGTGTCCCCAGGCATGAAGATGAAATGGGAAGGCAACAGTATACCAAAGATGGTTATAAAGTAGAGAGAGATGGTCCTGAGTGGGCAGAAGTAGGAGGAAAACGTTCTTCTGCACATTCCATGTTCGTAGATGAAGAGGGAAATCCTGAGGATCCGAACGGGGGCACAGGAAATCCAGAAACATATGGTCATGATGGGATATATGGAAAAGAAGATAGCACCACAGCCAGTGGTATCAGGAGACAAGTAAGCACCACTGACAATACCGGAGCAGCAGATGGGAGCAATATTAATGGAAATATTGATGAGAATTTAAAAAACGGGGATGCTGGAGGTGCAGGTCAGAGTGAGAATACCACTGTTGTTGAAGAAGATGAACATCAAATATCTGGAAGCAGTAATAGTACAGGCCAAGAGGATGAAGCAAATGGGAATTCCTGTGGAAATGAGGGTAATACCACTGAAATAATACCTCAGAAAGAAGGTGAGAGAAATGGTCACGAGGAGGCAGGGGTAACACCAGGGGAAAGTGGAGCGGGCAATAGAGAAGACCCTGGCCTAGATAATTCTGATGGGAGTCCTAGTGGGGATGGAGCAGGTGAGGATGAAGACAAGGGCTCTGGGGATAATGAAGGTGAAGAAACAGGAAATGGACAAGAGGGCACTGATGACAGCAAGGGCCAGGAGGGTCAGGGTCCTGGAAAAGAAGATGACAACGATAATAGCTTAGGTCAAAATTCAATTAGTAGTGAAGACAATGACCCTGAAGAAAAGGAAGATCCCCATGACACGGATGGAGACAATGCCTCCAAGAGTGAGGAGGATTCCGATAGTATTCCAGAAGAAAATGATAGCCAAAGAACAGAGGACATGGGAAAACCCAGTCACAGAGGAAACAATGGTATGGATAATGGAATCACCAGAGAATCAGAGCCAAGTACTAATGAGAAGAGCCCAGACAAGGTTAGTTTGTGACTTTTTTTTTAAATGGCAGTGTAAATTCTCCCCACCACCTCTAATGGTAGCACAAAAATAATCATGACAAGCATTCATGTATTTTCACACCTAAATTAATTGAATATTTGATGGGAAAGCCAGGGTCCTTACTAGACTTTGATATACAACAATTTAAAAAATCAGACATTTCTGAAATTTTGGTTATAATTCTAGGAAAGTCTTATACTAAATAATGGCTGCACCATGTAATGGTTTATAAAAGTTTCTACTGGGTAAAAATATGGATGGATTGTTATATAAAACAAGCACTAGGGTACTTTCAAGCACTGAATAAAGCACATTTTCACAAACAGATGTTTCTGAAGAACTGGAAGTTGAACTTCTGTTTCTCTGGCCACTCTCCTGTTAGTCTTCCTCAGACCAATGTGATTTTGCAGTATAACATTCACTATTTAAACATTCTTTTTATAGGAAATAGAAGTTGAAGGTTCTAGCAGTGGAAACAGAACCAATATTGCCAAAGAAGCTGTGAAAGTCAACAGAGATAAAGAGAGTAAAGGGCAACATGGAATGGTTGTGGGCAACGGAAATGTCAAGACACAAGGAGAGGTTGACCACAAGCAAGAACTGGGCCAGAAATCAGAACCTGAAAATAAGGTTGGACATGACCAAACAGGTAGTGACAGTAACAGCGATGTGTATGATAGTTACGAGTTTGATGATGAATCTTTGCAAGGAGATGATCCCAACAGCAGCGATGAGTCCAATGGCAGTGATGATGCCAATTCGGAAGGTGACAATAACAGCAGTAACGGAGGAGATGCATCTTATAACTCTGATGAATCAAAAGATAATGACAATGACAGTGACTCAAAAGGAGAAGGAGATAATGACAGTGACAGCACATCAGATGCTAATGATAGTGATAGTAATGGCAATGGTAACAACGGGAGTGATGACAGCAAATCAGACAGCAGTGACAGCAATGATAGCAGTGACAGCAAATCAGATAGTGACAGCAGTGACAGCAGCGACAGCAGTGACAGCAAATCAGATAGTGACAGTAGTGACAGCAGCGACAGCAAATCAGATAGTGACAGTAGTGACAGCAGTGACAGCAGTGACAGCAGTGACAGCAGTGACAGCAAATCAGATAGTGACAGCAGTGACAGCAGTGACAGCAGCGACAGCAAATCAGATAGTGACAGTAGTGACAGCAGTGACAGTAGTGACAGTAGTGACAGCAGTAACAGCAGTGACAGCAGTGACAGCAGTGACAGCAGTGACAGTAGTGACAGCAGTGACAGCAGCGACAGCAAATCAGATAGTGACAGTAGTGACAGCAGTGACAGCAGTGACAGCAGTGACAGTAGTGACAGCAGTGACAGCAGCGACAGCAGCGACAGCAAATCAGATAGTGACAGCAGTGACAGCAGTGATAGCAGTAACAGCAGTAACAGCAGTGACAGCAGTGACAGTAGTGACAGCAGTGACAGCAAATCAGATAGCGACAGCAGTGACAGTAGTGACAGCAGTAACAGCAAATCAGATAGCAGTGACAGCAGTGACAGTAGTGACAGCAGTGATAGCAGTAACAGCAAATCAGATAGCAGTGATAGCAGTGACAGCAGTGACAGTAGTGACAGCAGTGATAGCAGTGACAGTAGTGACAGCAGTAACAGCAAATCAGATAGCAGTGACAGCAGCGACAGTAGTGACAGCAGTGATAGCAGTAACAGCAAATCAGATAGCAGTGATAGCAGTGACAGCAGTGACAGCAGTGACAGCAGTGACAGTAGTGACAGCAGTGACAGCAGTGACAGCAGCGATAGCAGTGACAGTAGTGACAGCAGTAACAGCAAATCAGATAGCAGTGACAGCAGTGACAGTAGTGACAGCAGTGATAGCAGTGACAGCAGTGACAGCAGCGATAGTAGTGATAGCAGTGACAGTAGTGACAGCAGTGATAGCAGTGACAGTAGTGACAGCAGCGATAGTAGTGATAGCAGTGACAGCAGTGACAGCAGCGATAGTAGTGATAGCAGTGACAGTAGTGACAGTAGTGACAGCAGTGACAGCAGTGACAGCAGCGATAGTAGTGATAGCAGTGACAGCAGTGACAGCAGCGATAGTAGTGATAGCAGTGACAGTAGTGACAGTAGTGACAGCAGTGACAGCAGTGACAGCAGCGATAGTAGTGATAGCAGTGACAGTAGTGACAGTAGTGACAGCAGTGACAGTAGTGATAGCAGTGATAGCAGCGATAGTAGTGATAGCAGTGATAGCAGCGATAGCAGTGATAGCAGTGACAGTAGTGACAGCAGTGACAGCAGTGACAGTAGTGACAGCAGCGACAGCAGCGATAGTAGCGATAGCAGTGACAGTAGCGACAGCAGCGACAGCAGCGATAGCAGTGACAGCAGTGACAGCAGTGACAGCAGCGACAGCAGCGATAGCAGTGACAGCAGTGATAGCAGTGACAGCAGCGACAGCAGCGACAGCAGCGATAGCAGTGACAGTAGTGACAGCAGTGACAGCAGCGACAGTGCCTCTGACAGTAGTGATGAGAGTAACGGCAAGAGCAAGTCTCATAATGGCAACAACAATGGAAGTGATAGTGACAGTGACAGTGAAGGCAGTGACAGTAATCACTCAACCAGTGATGATTAGAATAAAAGAAAATCTCACAAGATTCCTTCTGTGAAAAGTTTGGTGAGTGATAGGAAATAAAGATTTCCAAGAAAGTTAAGGGGAGGGGAGAAATAAGCAGAAGACATACAAACATCCACATAAGACTAGGAAATTAAGCCCAACTAGCTGATTGTCCAAGTCCCAACTCCCTCAGAGAGAGAATCTGAAAGTGTGACCTTTGGTATATGGTGTTAAAATATATTCTGAAAAGATTTTGCTAAAAGTGTAAATCTAAACATAAAAGAACAATGAAAGTATTCCTTAATACTTTACACAAAAACCTCAAGTAATCACGCACTATGATAACTTCAACTAAAATGCCAAGTGCTTTAGAGAATGTGGCAAGTAAACACTTCTTATAAACAGCTTGTGGCTTTGCCTTAATCTTTTGAGTAATTATATTTTCTGAATAGATGGTCTGCTCACTGCTGAGTAAAAGATGCTGTACTATACCCAGCTTGGCTAGTAATTCATTTACTTGTTCTAAGAAATGCATCTGTAACATAAAAAAAAAAAAAAAGCAGCAATAACTTAACCTTTCTGGGATTAATCTTTGTAATTTTTGAATAGAGTAATTCCAAATTAGGGAAATTCTAAAGAGTGTTAGGAATTCAGAGGCTGATTTAAACAAAATCTGATACCTAGTATTACATTCCTAAAAACCACTGGAAATTGAGCATGAAGTTCCCCAAATCATTTAAAAAACTGATACAGTGCTTAGAACGGTGCCTTGCCCCCAGCAGCCACTCTCTGAATATTATTAAATAAATGAAGCCACGTGAAGCCATGAATGAAGGACTCTGAAGGGAAGGGTCCTTCATTCATTGAACTCTGTTAAGTGAAATCTGTTGTCTTCTGCTTCAGTCTCACCATGTCTAACTTGGTTCACATTTCCTCTTAAACCCCCACAAACCAAAACTTCCAAATGAGGCCTTGAGACTCCCTTCTCACTATTAATCTCTTTAATAAAGCCACAGTTGCTGGTGGGAAGTGCCTGGAAACTACTCTTCTTTCATTTGAGTCATATATGCAGCTAAACCTGAGCATGGATCCTTCAGCACTTGCATAAATGAGGGTAATTTTTAGTTTTGAGATGAAGTCCAATAGAACATGAGGATCTTAAAACTGTATGAGCCTAGACTGTGATATTTCATAGGGTGGAGATATATTTTATTACTCAAACTAGGATACTTTTAAGAGTCAAAGGGGTGCTATCAATAATTACTTGGGACAGGAGGTATACATTGGAACTGGTTTGGGACACTGGGACATACGATGGCCATACCCATAAAACTTTAGGGTATCTTTTCAAGATTTAGTATCGATGATTTGTCATTTCCCTCTTTTTCCACTTAGGCAATTATTTTAGGTTTGTTCTAATTCAAAGGTAAAAATTTATACAGCAAAATTTTGGATGCTACTTCTTTAATGTTAATTCTCAACCAGGCAATAGTTGATAATTTATGTTCTAATATTAGACACATTTTACACAAAGAGTTTCAGCAGGTTGTTTTTTTATGCCTCTTTTCTCCTGTAAGCAAGAGTTTCTTAGTTAAGAGATCAATATTACAAGGAATATTTCTGAAGGCTTTAAAAATACTGCTATTCATAAACTACTTGATAGCTCAAAATACTGTGAAATTTCAGTATTTCAAAATTTCACAGTCATGTAAATCACTCCAAGCTTCTTTTGTGAAAATATGCTCTAGATTTTTAACTCCTCTAAGCTTCAGGTTTTGTTTTTCTAAATGTAATAAGTGTATAGTATTTGTCCCACCCATTTCAAAAGGCTGTGATGAGCATTCAGTCAGGCAATGGATGTGAAACTCTGTAAGTTGTATAAACTTGTAAATGAAAGAGGCAATGAATTTAGGTATTATAATAAACATCTATTGACACGATTGTTCACAAGGAAATCACCCTTCATCTTAATGAGGGAGTTTGCAAGTACTTACTCCCTCCATCACATGCTTAAAAATTAACTATTTTTAATTGAAAAAGTAGTATATGTATATACATAAAATAAAAATCCAAACACTATGAAAAGGTATACAAACACATTTAATCTCCATCATCTCAGATGCCCAGTCCTTGATTTCTCTTCCCCAGAGGAAATTCTCATTATTAGTATCCTGTGGAACGTTCCAGAAATATTCTATACACATATAAGGACCCATGTCACCCTTTTAGAACACATGAAAGGCTACTATACACAATGTGTTTATTTTACTATTTTTAACCTAAGAATATACCTTGAATGACACACAGATTGACAGTCTGTGTGCGTTTCATTTTGTGAACCGCCCTAGGTATTTAATCTCTCCCTGTGTTCCCCACTGCTTTCTAAGCCGTTCGCGCCTGTGGCACCAATCTGACACCCGAGCTGGATACATTTCAGCCAGCTTTCATCTTAAGAAGGGTTTCTGGGGTGGGAGATGTTCAGAATCTAGAGCTGATGTCAGAAACAAGGAAGGAAGACTATGATCCTGATTTTCTTAGGTAATAATATTGGTATCAGCCTCTGGACCTCGAAGGCAAAAATGGAGACACTTGAAAAGAATGTCTCAAGAATAGATCTTTGGTACACAAGAAGTCTGGTGTTAGAAAACAAAATTGGTTTGGGGTTATTTTCTGGAATAAAGATTAATAAGCTATCTGCTAATATTGTCCATGAGAATAATATTTTAAACTGCAATTTCACTCATTTTGTAAGTCGTGGTATCAGTTTAGTGACTTAGGACCAACATTTTGTAAAATTAAAGGATAAAAAAAGGAGAATCATAGTGCATCATTGTTAGTGTTTCATGAAACGTGACATTTGTCTCTATAGATGTACAAACATGTCTGAGCATGCTGGTACTAGGACATGATGTAAAATGTCATTCTGACCACTGGTTGCAGTAAAAATTTAAAAGCCTTTGGTTTGGAAAAGTGTTAAAAAACATTATTACTGCTAGTAATCATTTTATATTTAGTTTCACATTCATGTTTCTCTTTACATCTAAGTTTCCTTCCCACCTTGAAGCAGTGGTTAAAAAAATAAAAGAAATGAAACAGTGGTGTACGTGTCCAGGGTCGGGCAAGAGTGGAGGTGTGGGGATGGGTTTCTGGACTGATTTATGCTGCAGTAAAAGAGCCCAGGTAACACTGTCATATTCTGAGTAAGAGTCTATCATGCGGGTACTAGTGGGTTTGTTGGAAGTTCAAAACTTCCTTTTGGTTGCACAGACTACTCCGTGTATGACTTGAAGACACATGATCTTAAAACTGCCTCTCAGAGGTCATCTTAGCCTTCCCACCGGACCCTGGAATTCCTCCCACACCTGCTCGTACCACAAATCAGGAAGGTAGTAAGAGGTTTTTATTTTGCTATAAAGTCTATTTCTCAAAATAGATTATAAAAAGATAACCTTTAGAGAGTCATACCTCACCATATAAATACATTTTAAGTTATTAACTGGAATGGAATTCCCAGAAATCAAACTTGCTTTACAGTTGGTTCGTAATGGAAGTTTTGAAAAACTTGAGACCAAAATAACTAGGAACAATTTTCCTCTCCCTAAAAGGAGCAGGAACAAAATGGAATAGTTCAGTCATAGATGAAAATATTGTTGTGTTCTCACAGTGATCTATTCACTGCCACTCGCGAGCAAATCCTAGAGGAAGAAACAAGTCAACAGTACAATGTTCCCAACCTCTCCCCTCTGAACAGAGATCTTGGCCTCACATGCTAAAAAAAAGGGGTGGGTGTGTGTGTGGGGAATAAATAGTTAATTCCTATGGGGCATTTATGTAACTCAGAAAAATGGTATGAAATCCAAAGATCACCAATACATTGGACGCCATGTATTTCCCATGAGACGCCATGTGGTTCCCATTAGTCCAGCTCCAGCATGAAGCGCTGCATTCACAGAGCGCTGTATGGTAAGGTGCCTCCTTTGCTTCCAAGTCCATTGCTTTGCTTCCAAGTCCATTGTTTTGGGCTTTGCCATTGGCTATACTCCTCTCCTTTATTTTTACTCTCTTTTCCTCCCTGGTGTGTGTGTATTTTTCTTAATCCTCACCCGAGGATATTTTTCTATTTATCTTCAGATAGAGTGGGAGGGAGAGAGAGAGAAACATTGACGTGAGAGGGACACATAGACTGGTTGCCTCCCACATGACCCCAACCAGGGCCGGGGACAAACTGCAACCGAGGTATGTGCCCTTGGCTGGGATTAAACCCAGGACTCATTGGTCTGTGGGCCAGCACTCTACCACTGAGCCAAACCAGCCAGGGCCTCCCTGGTATTTTTTTCCCTTTGATGAGATGAAGAAATGTCTGCGGGGAGGAAACACTTTGTCCTGCACAGAATTTAGTTCCCAGGCATCTCCCTGTGTGAGGCCCTGGGCAGACCCCCTAGTCAGGGGCTGCTGTGTGGAGCTTCCATCGCGGGCCCTTTTTCCTGCTCCGATATTGCAGACAACCAGCTGGGTTCCGGCTCTTGCCTCCTCAGCACCTTCTTCAGCTGCAAGCTCCGACTCTGTCCTTGCGGTTCTAACTCCATCTCTCTGTGCTCAGACCAATCTGTGCGGGAGGCAGGAATTACTCAGGCTCGGACAGACCAACACTTAGTCTTGGCACATCTCCCTCTTGTCTTATTCTAATATCCTGATTCTGGTAAGTGGACTCTTCACCTGGCCCCCATGCCACAGTCCCTTTGGATCATTCTAACTGGGCTTCTGCGTGGCTTCCTCATCTCACTCTAGTATACGGGTAGAAATTTCCCAGCCCCACCAGCCTGCATGGCCGGGAGCACACCTGTTGTCTGACACAGTCAGGCTTACTGAACCAACACGTGGAAGGAGACTGCACCCCCCAGAAACCTCTGGCATCTCAGAAAACAAGGAAAAGATACAACTAATTTTGGGAAAGGGTGGAATCTAAGTGATACTTAAATAAAGCAGGGTCTGAGACACTCAAAGCAAAGCAAGCTGTG